GAGAGTCCTGGAGCACCTGAAAGACTAACAAAATTTGTGGCAGGGGAGGACCTTTCGTGGGTCACTGCATGAGCCACAATTTTTGTTAGTTTTTCAGATGCTCCAGGACTCTCGCTCTTTCCTACTGCTACTGACAGACTAAAACGGTGACCCGTCTTGATCTATTTCAGAGAGAAGTTAGGGGCTGCTTCCGGGGGGAGGAGGGAAAGCTGTGGTCCACGCACAGAATTTAGAGGGGATGCAGCCCTTCATAGGCCACAAGGAGAGTCTACATTTTCCTTCAGGAATTGCAAAAAAAAAAAAACGCTTCAGAGAAAGGTATGTACAAAAATAATTTAGTACTCAGTAATATGGTAAGGGTGCAATTGCTGCATTAGTGACTTTGCAGTTCTGCACTTTTAATACAACAAAAGCACACCATTGCTCCGTAGTCAGGACTAGCAAACCCACCTGGGAAAGCTGAAAAAAACGGTCAATTTCCAAGCACCCCAGAATTCACCATTCTGGTAGCCTGAACTCCATAGCAGTCGTGCACACCACCTCGGCCAGATTTTGGCTCTTCCCAACCTTCCCCTCTTACAGTTTTCAAGTCGGCCAGATGGCTATGCAGTGAGCCACCAGCATCGTGCCTCAGGTGCAGACCCAACAGGAAAAAATCCCAGTGTCCCTTCTTGCCAGAGTCAACAGCACCGGGGTCCTCCAACCGGGAAGCCTTTGCCCTGTCAGTGCTGCCTGTTGTGCACGCAGAGTCCTGCTCCTTCGGGAGCCTTTTTTGCCGCTGGCGGCTTGAGCGTTTGGAACCTGCACTCTCCGGGGGGCATCTTGGAACCCTGCTGAAACCACAGGTGCAGGTAGCCGTTGTAGAAGTCGGTGGCCGTCAGTTTCTTCTTCAGGATGAGGGCTCTGACGCCGACCCAGCCTTCCTGGAAGGGGAAACAGGGCATAGATGGTAGCTCTGGGAAGCACATCCAACAGTCTTATGAGCATGCCGCACAGGCGAGGAATCGAGCAGAGTTCATCCCCTTGCTGTTTTCGATTCCACCTTTAAGCCAAGGTTTCCAGCCCAGGCTTGCAGACAGAGACACGTATGACAAAATCTTAGAAACTGGGAGGTAGGCATACAGGGATATTAGTGGTTGGAAGGAGTATACAATGATTTGGTTCTCTTTACAGATAGCAGAAGAAGAAGAAGAGGAGATTGGGTTTATACCCTGCCCTTCGCTACCCGAAGGAGTCTCAGAGCGGCTTACAAACTCCTTTCCCATCTTCTCCCCACAACAGACACCCTGTGAGCAAAGCTCCCTCTAAGCTGTGGAAAAATTCTACTTTGTGAGCTACTCGCATTAATGTTGTGAGCAAGCAATTTGGCTAGTACATAAATTAGTTTGCTCTGGAGCCCTCCTTCCTGAGCTAACGCAAACATGTGTGAGCCAGTGTCAGGTTCCACAGCTAGCAACAGAGTACACGCTTATCAGAAAGGTTATACTTTATTGCAGAGCTATAGAGGCAGTAACATAGTCACTGTTAAGAATGGCGACGTTCCTACAAGCATAATGGGATATAGGGCATTCGTATGCACCCCCCCTTCCACAAGCCAATTAGCCAGACTCCTGCGCATGGGAGAAAGGTCCCCAGGCTGTTAAGAGGCCGCAGCTGGGAACCGAAAGCGCTCCCACGGTTCCTGGCATCCCAGACCCTACACCAGCAACCTGCAAGTAAAGTAAAGAAGCAGCATCTGGCCCACAGAGGAAGAGAATTAATCCCCCCCCCCATCATGGCAGCATAGCTGACAGCCAGAGGCTAAAAAAACTGTGAGCGAGCTCACACTAACTCACCTTAGAGAGAACACTGCCTGTGAGGTAGGTGGGGCTGAGAGAGCTCTTTCGAGGAGTGCTCGTGAGAGAACAGCTCTGAGAGAACTTGTGACTGACCCAAGGTCACCCCAGCAGCTGCATGTGGAGGAGTGGGGAATCAAACCCGGTTCTCCCAGATGAGAGTCGGCACTCTTAACCACTGCACCAAACTGGCTCTCAACTAACATGTGCAAATAAGCAGCTTCAATCCCAGCCATTTCCTTAATCACTCTCAGTAAAAACTGGAACAGCGAAGGAGGAAAAAGACCCCAAACCTACCTTGCAACGAACCATCAATGTCTGTGACTGCTTATGGTAGACCACTGATCCGGGGCTTGATCCAGGTTCCGTTGCCGACCTCCCTGAATGCAAAAGATATGTACGTATTCCACACATTGCTTTTCTGTAACAGGCAAAGCTGTTCCCACCAATGTTCCCTCTAAGCTGTGGAGTCTTGTGAGCAACAATTCTACTTGGTGAGCTCCTGGCATTAAAGCTGTGAGCGAGCGATTTGGCTGCTGCATAAATTAGTCTGCTCTGGAGCCATCCTTCTTGAGCTAAGACAAAAATGTGTGAGCCGGGGGCTAAAAAACTGTGAGCTAGCTCGCGCTAACTCAGCTTAGAGGGAACACTGGTTCCCACCTGCCTCCAATTTAGCCACCGAAAGCCATCCCAAATGAGAAGATCTTCCAGTCCAGGAACGTCTTGGAGACCAACAAGATCCACATCCAGCTGTTCTACGGCAGACCCACATGGCCGCCCTCTGAAAAGATCTTGCCAGGCTTCCAAAAGGTCGCGGAGGTTTGGGCCAGCTCTCAAAGCACGTAGCTTCGTTACACGACTGGCACCGAGGATCACTCCCTGCGGCATCCAAATGTCTTACAGAGGGCAAACCCAAGAGGGCATGACATTTTAAATTACGTTTTAGATTTACTTATGGCTCATATGTTAACGGAGTCCAGGTCTTCTACGTGGCTTTGTCATATAGAAAAAAAAAATCAATTCAGTTGGGCTTAACATTGGAGTCAGCCTTTAGACTGATCAGGCAAAGACTGGTTGACATTGAGAGGCAGGTTCTTGAAAGCCGTGCAAAAAGTAGATGCTCACCCCTCAATTTGGGGCCTTTACCTTCTGGGCATAAGGCTGAATATCTAACTTGTTTAACGAACCCGGGGCAACGCAGAGCATATATGTTACCCAGGTTTAATGTGTTGCCGTCAGCAGTATTATATGGGAGAGTCCAAAAAATCCCATTCGACAGTAGATTGTGCTCCTGCAGTAAGCAAGAGATAGAAACTCTTGAACATGTGTTTCTTTCACGTACTTTCTACATGGACCTGCGCCTTACATTCACCGAGCCATGCTTGAGAAAGTATTCAGGGAAACCTGATAAATGTAAGATTTACTTTTTGCTGACAACCCAGAATCACATAATAATCGAAAGTGTTGCAGAAGCAAGGAAGCATTCAAGGAAGCATTCAGTATTCCTAGCAAATTGAGTCTTATGTTCTGTATGTTATGCCAATAAAGGTCGATTGATTGATTGAGATTTACTTTGTTGTGTTGGGTCTTAGGTGTCACAACAGGACACAACTAAGCCTACTGTTTCCTGAGTATACCTGCTGGATCCCTTGCTGGTCGTTAAAGACGCTTCCAACACATCAAAAGCATTGGCCCGGGTTGTGCTGAAAGCCAGCAGAGGGCCAACTCAAGAAAAAACCCTCTTGGAAGCATCAAGGGCAGGCAAAGGACAAACAGCCCTTTCATTTTACATAAGCTCCTCCAATGTTTTGCTTAGCCACCGGCTGCGCGACATTTTAGGCTTGGGAACGATAAAAAGTTCAGGATACACCACCTACGAAGATGCAATGGTATAATAAAATATGGGAGACGTATGTAATGTGTAGAACAACAAGCAATTCCTTCTTTGAGGGAAATGTTATAAATATATGGAAAGCTAGTCAGGAAGAGGGGTGGAATATGGTGATAGAATATCGCAAGTGAAATAATGTTATCCCAAATAGGAAGGACTGGGGTCGTTTCCTGCAGAAGCACACAGGAGCGGAGCTCTGGCAGTAAAGAGCCCAGCGAGCGGGCACATGCAATAAGTCCCACTCCTTGCTCCTAGAAGCCCTCAGTCAGAGCAAGAAGCGGCCAGGTAAGCTGCAGAGCCCGCCCCCCCAGCCCCCCAGTCCAGGGGCACCTTTAAGACCAGGTTTTATTCAGGTACAAACTCTCCCTCCTCTGCGAGGACAGATCTGCACGTCCCCCCCCCCAATAGCTAGCAATCCAAAAGAGTCCAGTGGAGCCTGAGCGGTGGGTGTTGCCTTCTGACACACTTCCGGTGATGTCAGGGGGTGTGGCATATGCAAATAAGTTATGCTAATGAGTTATGCTAATGAGCTCCTGCACCTCTTTTTCTACGAAATGACCCCTGTATTAGAGTATTGGATATGTTGTATATTTTGTTCTGGTTAATCAATAAAATAATTTTAAAAAGAAGTTCAGGCAGATACCAGGAAGGCCAGCGTCCACGTCCACTAAATCCAACAACTTGACAACGGTGCCCATCCACAGGGTCTGTAGAGGCATCTGAAAAAGAGGCACATGGACACGTGAAGATGCCTGAACCGGAGTCAGAGCACCCGTCTGTCAAGGTTGATGCTGTCGACTTTGATCGGCAGCAGTGCTCCAGGGTCTGAAGCGGAAGTCTTTTCTGGAGTGGTGGCACAGAGGATTTATCCTCTGGTTAACTGTCAGCTAAGCTGCCATGAGTTGGGAGAGACGTTCTAATTGCTTTGCATTCCTTCCCATGCGCTTAATTGCTTCACAGCTGCAACACTTATCTGTAAAGTGTTACTGGAGGAGTTGTGGTGTCTACCTTCTGTGGGATCATTCTAGTTCCCAGCTTCGCTACCGTTAGAGACTCTCGCCATCTCCCTCGCCTGGGAGCCCATCTAATTGGGTATTGCTAGGGGGGGTGCATACGAATGCCCTATACCCTATTATGTGCATAGGTGGTCCACCATTCCTAACAGTGTTCGTGTTATTGCATCTATGGGTTTTCAATAAAAGTAAAACCTTCCTAGAAGCGTGTACTTCGTTGTTTTGCTGTGGATCCTGACATTAACATCTGAACTGAACAGAGTTGCTGTCAGTTCTAGCCCGCGCTGGTGTGAGCTAACAGCCTTGTCCCCAGCTCGCCGTCCACCCAGCGGTTCGAAAGCTTCGGCGAATAGATAAAATGGGTACCACTCCTTAGAGAAGGTGGGCACAGTAAACCCCCATAGGGGAGGTGTTAGCCGGCGAATGGAATGTCCAGCTCGGAAGCTCGGAAGCCTGGAAAAAAGACCTCTTCGGCATCAAGAAGCCTGTAATGGGCCAATCCGACCAGGCGGTGGCAGTGCGGCGCTACAACTCAAAGCAGCCCAGAAAGAACTAACGTCATCAAGCCAAGCCGAAATGAATGCCGCCCGGAAGCCTACAGCTGAACAAAATCCCCGTCGGCTGCAAACGTGTGCGATTTAAAGAATTATATGTTGTCCTCCCTTACCCCTATCATTGTTAGCCCCTTGTGAAAACCTATGTAAATCGCTCAGACCCAGCAGCTCTGCAGGATTGAGCGATCAATACATCGGAAGTTGTTGTTGTTGTTGATTATTATTATTATTATTATATCACCTGCCACCTGATCTTTTTAACGGTAGATGCCAACAGTGGGAGGGCTTCTGGTGTCCCGGCCCCACTGCTGGACCTCCTGACGGCCCCTGGTTGCCAGGCTGGCCTCACCGCATGTCTTTGCCAGGCTGGCCTCACCGTTGCTCCCAAGGCGCGATGCATCCGCAGGATTTGCTCGGAGGTTTGTTCTTCCCACTGGATGTAGCTCATCGAAACAGTGACTTTGGGAGCTTTCAAAATAAAAGCAAGAGACGTCAGACCATCACAGTTTGGCGCCTGCATCTCTAAGCATACCCACCAGCTTTGTTTTAAATTGAGCCTGTCGCTCAACACGATTGTGTTATCAGTATTCATTCACTGAAATGCACTGCCGATGAGACAGTGATTACAAAATGGGGTTCTCTCAACACCCTCCTCTTCCCAACATACATGCTCTAGGGCATGGGTGTCAAATATTAAGGCCCAGGGGCTGGAACCGGCCCGTCCAGGGCTCTTATGAGGCCCACAAGCCAGTTTGGTGTAGTGGTTAAGTGCACGGACTCTAATCTGGGAGAACCGGGTTTGATTCCCCACTCCTCCACTTGCACCTGGCTGGATGACCTTGGGCAAGCCGTAGTTCTGGCACAGCTGTTCTTGAAAAAGGAGCAGTTCTGGAAAGAGCTCCCTCAGCCCCACCTACCTCACAAGGTGCCTGTTGTGGGGAGGGGAGGGGAAGGGAAAGGAGTTTGTAAGCCGCTCTGAGACTCCTTTGGGGAGTGGAGGGTGGGGTATAAATCCAATCTCTTCTTCTTCTTCTAGTGCAAAGAAGGGAATAGGAGACTACTCGGGGGGGGGGACTGGGCGGAGCAACTCCAATTGTGGCTTCAGCATGGCAGAACAACCTTGTCTGCGGCAGTCGAGCAGCGTGGAAGCGTCTGCCCAGTGCTGCACCGCTGGCTCTTCAGTCCACCCATGTGGGTTTTCCTTTGCACCCCCCTCCCAGCTCATGGGGCTTTGCAGTGAGAATATACTGACTTGGAGCTTACTAGCTGCTGCCTTTTATGCAGTTTCTATCTCTGGTATCTGGCGTTATGCTTTATGGCACGCATGGCCCGGCCTGACAAAGTGGCATTCAGCAATGCCACCAATTTTGCTAGTCTTTAGGGTGCTCCTGGGCTCTTGCTCTTTTCTACAGGAAGAAGAAGAAGAAGAAGAAGAGGAAGAGGAGGAGGAGGAGGAGGAGGAAGAAGAGGAGGAGGAGATTGGATTTATACCCCACCCTTCACTTGGAGTCTCAGAGCGGCTTACAAACTCATTCCCCTTCCCCCTCCCCGCAACAGACACCCCGTGAGGTTCGTGGGGCGGAGAGAACTCTGACACAAACTGCTCTTTTTCAAGGACAGCTGTGCCAGAGTTTGTGACTGACCCAAGGTCACATCAGCAGGTGCAAGTGGAGGAGTGGGGAATCAAACCCGGTTCTCCCAGATTAGAGTCCGCGCACTTAACCACGACACCAAACTGGCTCAACCAGTTCTATCTAACGCTACGCATGAAACAGCCAGTACGTACCAAGCGTCGCTCCTTCCTTTGGCTGTTCTTTCTTGTTCCGTAAGTATTCTGGTAAATTTTGAAGGACTGCAATGAGCTGTGAGGAAAAGGCCCCCCTGATATATTACTTTCTATAAAGAAGCAAACCTCATGTATGTATGTATTTATTTATTTATTTCGATTTATATCCCGCCTTGCCTGCGTAGGCAGGCTCAAGGTGGTGTACAACAGGTTAAAATACAATAGAACACAGATGCAACAGTGCAATACGATAAAATTTCAGAAACAAACGATATACATAAAGTACTGTTAAGTGCAGATGGCGATTGGTGTAAGGTGGTCTGATGTAGCTAGGCCAGTATCCAAAGTTGTTCTTAATGCCAGTAACATGAGGGCCATGACAGTTCAGTTTTTAATAGCTCATTCATCAATGGCGGCTCCTAATTGAAGGCCTGGTGGAAGAACTCCGTTTTACAGGCCCTGCGGAACTGTAGAAGGTCCCGCAGGGCCCTGATGTCTTCCGGGAGCTCATTCCACCAGTGCGGAGCCGCCACTGAAAAGGCCCTGTTTCTGGTGACGGCCAATCTGGCCCAGGGAGAGTCAGGCAGTTTTGCAACTCTGACCTCAGTACTCTCTGGGGGATATATGAGGAAAGGCAGTCCCTCAGGTAGGCAGGCCCCCCTGACCATGTACAGCAGTATCTCCCACCCCCGTTTATATCTTTTGTTTTTTTCCCCTCTCTGTAATGTCTTACGATAATCTGGAGACTGTTTTTTATTCTGTATGCTGTCTGATGGGTCTTTGACTGTAATAAACTGATTGATTGATTGATATATCTTTTGATCAGCCAGCAACTAGATGCCCAGGGGCTTCCAGCTCTTGGCTCAGTGACATGTAAGCACTCTGGAAGGGTTCTCCCAGCAAAGAAATTCCAGAAACACCACAAGAAAAAATGGGGAGAACACCCCCACGTCCACAAAGCACCCACAGGCCAGAAATGGGAGGGAACCACGAACATTGCCACTTGGTTCTAATTAATTAATTATATTGTCTGATTATGGTTTTATGGCTCTTACTGCTTTTAATCTGCACATCGCCTAGAGCACCATGGTTGTGGGGATTACGGCGATTCATAAATATAATACATTTTTTTAAAAAACTCACCATGTTTGCACCTAGTTTCGACAACAGCGACTCCAGTTCTTTCGTTGAGCAGCGGGCCGGGACAGCGATGGTTTCCTGTTTGATAATGGGACCGACATCAAACCTCAAAATGAAACACACAAATGTTACACTCTTTTGTTTATTCAGGATCCATATATAGCTTGAAAACAGATTGTGAAAACTTAAGACAAACTATGCAGGCGACAGCAGGAAGGGAGCGAGACAAATGAATCATTGTTTACATGAAAGCAGCCCTTCAACGTCTTCGATCTCAGAGACCCTCTGTCTGTCTAAACTAGTACTGGGCAAGAGAGGCTGGCACTGTAAGGTAACTCACCTGTGCTCACCTTCACAGGGCTGACCTTTCAAGAGCCCAGTGTTTATGACTGACCTACATAGCTGCAGAACAATGAATACCTGATCTACTGCCGCAAGTAAGGTGAGCAAAAAGACGTCATAGGGAGTGTGGATCTTGTTATTCTCAGACAGTTTAAGCCGAGTAGGGCTGGCGACGTCATCCCCAGAGGTTAGGTAGCTGCCAGGTGTCAGGAGGATCAATGTTTCCTCTAAACTGAGTTAGTGTGAGCTAGCTCACAGTTTTTTAGCCTCCGGCTCACACATTTTTGTCTTAGCTCAGAAAGGATGGCTCCAAAGCAAACTGATTTATCAGTAACCAAATCGCTCGCTCACAACTTTAATGCCAGTCGCTCACAAAGTTGAATTTTTGCTCACAAGACTTCACAGTTTAGAGGGAACACTGGTCAGGACTTCTGGCAGGACCTGCTGCTGTTGACCCCGCCCACACACATCTTATTTGCTAGCGCTCCACGGTGCTCCCAGCTACATGTACCGCCCAGTGACTGGGGGCTGCAGGCAGCAGTGTGCCTAGGCAGTGGGAGAGTTCACTAGAGGGCTGGGGGATGACATACAGGCAGGTGGGAGGCATGCAGGTCAGTGAGAGGGAAAGAGGGCATACGTGAGGGCCTGCTAGCGGACAGAAGGGGGGCCTGGGAACTCTGCCGAGGGACCCTTGAAACCTGCAACCGGCCCTGAAACAGAGGATAGCTCTTTGCTTCAGAAGCAAGTCAAACTGCTCAGTACATCCTGGTTCTCATTATTACTCCACTGCTGGATAGAATTCCTGGCTGCACAAACAAAAGCCAGGCCTGGCTGCCTTTTATCTGATAAAAATCCTAAGATCACTTATCAAGCAGCTAGATTCTATGTACTGATACTAAGGCCACGGAAACGGTATTTTAATTAGGTTCTCGGTTTTAATCTTTCATGTTGTGCGTTCTCTATTCTGTACAATTTTTTTTTTTATTATAACTATATGTATATGTCTGGGTCTAGTGACCGTAATAAAGTTCTGAATTCATCTTGGTTCTCAAACCTTTCTTTTTTTTTTTTGAAGTGGACACGATTCTCACTCTTCACCTCACTCCACCGCACGACGACAAAGAAAACAAACACACTCCAAGACTCTCACATCAATACTGGGGGGGCGATATGTATGTCTTATTTTCCATTTCCAGTACTTGATATAACGTATGGGTGAGCGGTGGCACAGGGGATTTATCCTCTGGTTACAAGTAACATCTGAGCTGAACAGGACTGCTGTCAGTACTAGCCCCGCGCTGGTGTGAGCTACCGGCCTTGTCCCCAGCTTGCCATCCACCCAGCGGTTCGAAAGCTTCAGCAAATAGATAAAATGGGTACCACTCCTTAGAGAGGGTGGGCACACCAAACCCCCCCCCCCCCCGGGGGGGGGGGGTTGGCGGGTTCGGCTCGCAAGATCGAAAAGCCTAGAAGATCTCTTCGGCACCAAGAAGCCTATAATGGGCCGTTCCAGCCTGACGGTGGCAGTATGGAACTGCGACCCAAAGAGTCCTGGAGAGGAAGAGTTGACGGCATCCAGCCAAGCCAAGCCGAGTGGGGGAAAATGCCGTCCGGATCACGTCTGAGTTGCAGCTGAACTAATCCCCGTCGGCTGCAAGACGTGTACTATGTAAAGATTATATGTGTTGTCCTCCCTTACCCCTATAAAGCATTGTTAGTCCCTTGTGAAATGAGTAACTGTAAATCGCTCAGAGCCAGCAGCTCTGCAAGGATTGAGCAATCGAAAGATTATTATCATTAACGTTCTTGAGCAACAGGCTATATTTCACCATCGTGTTGCACACCCACCAAACCCAAATTTGCCTCTACTGGCTCACCCACCTCCACCCTCTTGGGCCCGTGCCCCACCAAAGAGAAAATTATGAGCCACTTTTGCATCTGTGACAGTGAGAGAACCACAGGCTTTGATGGCTGTTAAAGGACAAAATCGCCTCGCCACCGCTTGCAGCCCCTTCGCAAGGCATTTCGAAATGTCAGCTGCGACTTCCTAAAAATGTGGGTACTTCTCTGAAGGCATGCCAATTTTTTTAACAGAGCACAACACAATCAACAAAGCTCAATGCAATCTGAAGTGCCAGGGAAAGAAAACTAACAACGATGAGAGGTTCTGCGCTTTGGAATGAAAGAGCTGCTATACCTTTTAGGCCTGAGCTGCATGATTGTCACCCCAGTGACTGTATCGCCATGGAGCACCGTGTGGATTACTGGCGCAGGGCCGCGCCACCGTGGAAGGCAGCTGGGATGGACGTTCAGCATGCCACTGAATCAGAACATTTGGAAATTAGAATAGGACCAGTAACTCTGCAACATACACAAGTGGGTGTTAACCATTACTTAAAAAAACACCTTAAAATTCTGTATAGATGCCAAAACAAAGCGTTTAAGAAGTAAAAATTAGACTATTAATTCCACCACCACCACCACCCCCAAAAAAAACCACAGTAGGAAGTGAAGGAACAAAAGATACTGAAGAAAAAGGGATAGGGGAAGAATGCTCACACACGAGAAAAAATGTTTTTAAGTGACTTTAAAACATTATCATTTGGAATACGTAATTCAGAGCCCATGTGCTTTTCAAACAACTGTTAAGAGACCCCAATTTTCTCCAGTTCATTTATTTAATTTGAACCTTGCCTGTTTCCTACATATGTATCCTGCTCCGTCACCCTTACACTTCACATCACAAGCAACACAAACCTTAGGTCTCAGATTTATGAAATCAAGATGTTTAGACATGACGTGTTTCCTGGCCAGGGTGGGCATGGCAGCAGCTGTCGGACCCCCCAAGGGGGCTGACTCCTGAATGTCAGAGCATAAAGCCCTAGCACAGATCCCTGACGGTGTGTGTGGATGACTGGAAGTTCATGCCCACGTGAGCACAATTCCAAGCCCTGCCAATGCACACCACCTACGCTTGAACGAGGGGAGGGAGGGAAGCAGCCAAGTATATTTGTGCTGGTGAAGTTATCAACAGAAGGGAGGATAATGCACAGCTATGGTGGGGCATTTCGGGGCTCCACCCCCTCCGATGTGAGGAATGTCCCACAACACCTACCGCTCCTCTCCCCCTCACCTCACCGCTCCCATGACATTAAAAGGGCCCTCCAGCTGATCGGCAGAGCACGTGGCCTGCCGGTCAGCTGGAGGGCCTTTAAAATCTTGCAGCCACCTCTCTTCCTCCCCTCCTCCAAGACTTAAAGGCCCCTCCAGCTAATCAGTGGGCCCCTTAAATCCTGCAGGAGGTGAGGGAGAGGGGCGGCTGCTTGGTTGCACGCCTTCCCTGAACTCCAAGTAGTGCCCTCCCCCGCTGCCCCACAAAATTTCCCCATGGCCCACCAAGCCAAAATTTCTGGCTATGGGGCTGATAATGCATGTGCCCACATTCGCACATAAACCAAGGCACAGACAAGGCCGTTTTGCCCAGAGTTCCGACATCACTGGAAACTAGCCCCTGAAAAACTGTATCCGATTCTATTTGAGTCAGGCTTACAGATCTGCCAACCCAGCAGTTCGAAAGCAAGAAATTGCAAGTAGATAAATAGGTACCACTTCAGTGGGAAGGGAACAGCGTTCCGTGCGCCTTGGGGTTTAGTCATGCCGGCCACATGACCACGGAAACGTCTTCGGACAGCGCTGGCTCTTCGGCTCTGAAACGGAGATGAGCACCGCAACCCTAGAGTCGGATTCGACTGGCTTTCGAGCAAGGGAACCTTTACCTTTACTTACGGTTCACACCTATGCATATTTTCTCGGAAGAAGGTCCTACCGAGTTTAACGAGACCTACTCCCAATTAAAAATGTGCAAAGGGCTGGTTGCCCTGGCCATGCTTAACAAAAGTGGTTCAAAATGGCTTTGGCACAAACCAGGGAGACGATAGTAAGGCCACAGAGACAGAAAAAGACAACACAACCACATACGGTCTAAACTTCCAGTAAAAACTTGAGGCGGCTATTATCCGTAACCTGCGGAACTGCAGGAGACAGGAACAATGTGGAAATCCACCCCTCCCCATCCTGTCCCAGTATCCATGAACTCTCCAGCCCTTGAAAAGGCCTATTTCCTTTTTAACTGACTCTAAACTGCACTCAGCCCTGATCGGGAGAGCCCAGGCAAGCCCGATCTCATCAGATTTCGGAAGTTGAGCAGAGTCAGCCCTGGCTAGTATTTGGACGGGAGACCTCCACGGAATACCAGGGTTGCTACACAGAGGCAGGCAATGCCGAACCACCTCTGAACGTTCTCTTGCCTTGAAAATCCCACAGGATCATCACCGTGCAGGGCTCTTTTTGTAGAAAAAGCCCAGCAGGAACTCATTAGCATAATAGGTCCCACCCAACAGCAGGAGCTCATTAGCATATTGGGCCACACCCCTGACAGCACAGCTCATTAGCCTATTAGGCTGCACCCCCATGTTACCAGAAGTGTGGTTATCCAGCCACACCCACCTTTCCCTTCTTATTCTGTTTACCTTGTTTGTTGTCAAACCCCAGGGCCTTTTTTTGTAGCAGGGACTCCTTTGCATGTCAGGCCACACACCCCTGATGCAGCCAATCCTAATGAGTTTCTGCTGTTGGGCGTGGCCTATTATGCTAATGAGTTCCTGATGGGCATGGCCAACTCGGGAGCCAGCCGGAACTCTGTTCCTGTGCGTTCCTGCCCAAACATAGCCCTGACCGTAAGTCACCTGTGACTTGTTGGCCCTTTCCCCCACCACCACTACCACCAAACTGCGCTCAACATTCCACACCTCCCACAGCATGTTCAGTCTTCATCAGGTCATTCCCCACACTCTGCTTCGGTTACATTTGCAGACTCTCATCCTTCTCGGTGTCCCTGGGGAGCACAAGCCTGCTCGGTGGGAGGCCTGTTTTTGCTGCCTTTGAGCCACCCAGTTTACAAACATCTCTATGGCTGCAGAGTGGAGTGGCTCTGGGCTAGAGATGTAAAATTTCCAGAAATTTCGAAGCTCGGGAAAAAAAAACGTTCCCCCCCCCGTTTTTTTCGGGGGGAAACGGAAACTTAAGGAAAAAATTGAAAAAAAATGCCACATTAGCCTTTCTTTTGTCTTTTCTAGTTTGAAAGTCATTCTGTTACTTTAAGAACATAAAATATGACTATGGACATTCTTATTTGGCTTGAAATGATCACAACTAGCATATGAAATATATAGTGTATCCAAACAATTATTACAGAACACCCACCCACATGCAAAAACAAAACTGAAACTTTTTAATTTTCTTCTGACCATCGCACCTCCTACAGGAAGAAATGCATCTTGTTCTTGCATTGGAGAGTTCAGTTTGTAACCTAGGACTTGCTTGTCCTCAGTGGACAGAAATTACATCAATCTGATACCATATATATATATATTTTAGAAATGATTTGGAAAATATTTGAACACCTGGTCTTAAAATATTTTATTCATCATGTTAAAATAAAATGTTCCATAATCAATTTTTTTCTTTTCTTTTTTTTCAATTTTTCGGGAAAAAACAAAAAGGCTTCAGGAAAAAAACGGAAAAAAACTGGTTTTGTTCCAGGCCTTCACATCTCTACTCTGGGCTTTGGTATCTCTCTTGGCCCTCGATCATTTGCCTTGGAAGTCAGAGCAGAAAACCAGCTGAATTTTAGACCTGAAGCGTCAATAAGAAGTGCACAGGGACTGTCTCTCCTTGGGCAATGCCTCATACTGGCTCTGGGTTATTGCGTGTAAACTATCAAGTCTGACAAAGATCTGCTGCAGGTACCAAAGCCTTTCACACCTTTAGAATTAGAGGAACACAATGCTGTATATTCCCCCCCACCATCAGTTTAGTAAGCTAGTGCAGATATTAGCGGTTCTCAGGGTCCCAGGCTTACTATGGGAATTTCAGGATGATGTCCTCGCTCAGCAGACGCCCAAAGGATGCCACCACACCGACATCAAAGTGCTCACAAGGCCCGATATCTGGCCAGAGGTGGACGGGGAGCAGAAACTGATCCGCATAGTTCTTGACAGCATGGCCCTTTGGCAGCTGAGATGGTAAGGTCACCACCTCCAGGCGATCTACAAGCGGATCCGGTCCCGGCTCCCTGCAACACGAGGAGATAAAAAGGATTCCTGAGAAAGGGCTTGAAGGCCCTCCCTAGTTACCATCACCCCAATACCCACACAACTGCCCGTGCCTCTCCAATTCCTCCTCTGTATCTACAGAATGGACTCTCCCTTCCAGTTTGGTGCCGTGGTTAAGTGCGCAGACTCTAATCTGGGAGAACCGGGTTTTATTCCCCACTCCTCCACTCGCACCTGCTGGATGACCTTGGGCAAGCCATAGTTCTGATAAGAGCTGTTCTTGAAAAAGAGCAGTTTCTGTCAAGAGCTCTCTCAGCCCTGCCTGCCTCACAGGGTGTCTGTTGTGGGGAGGGGGAGGGAAAGGAGTTTGTAAGCTGCTCTGAGACTCCTTTGGGTAGTGAAGGGCAGGGTATAAATCCAATATCTTCTTCTGCTTGTTATCTGTCCCCCTTGTAGGACAGTGCCCTGTGTTTTCACAGGATTGTGATGTACTGGTCAGACTAGAACCTGGGAGGTGCACGTGCAAGCCCTCAATCTGCCATGGAAGCTCACTAGGTAGCCTTAGGCCAGTCATTCTCTCTCTCAGCTTTAACCTGCCTCACAGGGTTGTTGTGAGAACTGGGGGTGGGAAGGATGACATGGTAAGGTGCTCTAGGTCCCCAATGGGAAGACGTGCAGCATATAAATATCTAAATAAGTACAGTTCATACACGTCTCTGTCACATACCGTAGACTACATGACTGTTTTAAAGAATTCCCCAAATGTATAATGCATTTCCACTAGGACCAACCTGTATCACAAAATAGCAAGGAAGTTTTTTTAGTTCCCCCAAACTGTTTGGAACCAAGAACAAAGGAAGGGCTGCATGGTGTATATGCAAGACAGATGTTTTAGGGCACAGTAGAAAAGCCGCTGGTGTGCCCTTTGTAGCTTTCAAATGGTACACAGACAGGGAAAGCTACATTTGGTCTAAGGTCAGTGAGACATTCCCTTTTGCTTGCAAGTCAGGAATAGGGGTCCTGCTCATAGGTTCACACTGTGGAGATGGGTGTGTTCAAAACAACATTCATTTATTAGCGAGGAGATGCAGGGATGGGAGCCAGAGGCTTCAGGACAAGGGAGCTCATGAAGCCTACAACTCTAACAAACAGAACCCAGCAGGGATTCCACCCCATGAGACTAAACCAACACAAGCAAATATCAGGGAGGAGAAAAAGACTGTTCACTGTAATGTATACTATCAACACGCCACAGCCAGCCTCATCGCCTTGGAAGTGGCTCTCCGGGTGTCTTTCATACCATTTCCCACCTCATTTTTTTTAAACTGGGGCTTCCAGACACTAAAGTTGGGGCTCTCAGCATACAAGGCAGATGCTCAACCACTGAGCCACAGCCCTTCCTTTGACTCCTAATGTGCTCCAATGGTGCAAAAGAGGTCCCAAGGGTCACCCCTCAGGCACAAAAGCCACACAAAGCATTTGCATGCATTTATCTACTTATAAGGCAGCTGCAGAGGCTCAAGTGGTTAAGACGCTGAACTGCAGGCTGTGGAAGGTCGGTAGTTCAGCAGTTCGAGACACGAGTGTGCTGCATGACGGACACGAGTGTGCTGCATAACGGAGTGAGCTCCCGTCTCTGGTTCCAGCTCCTGCCAACCTAGCAGTTCGAAAGCAAGAAATTGCAAGTAGCTAAATAGGTACCAATTCGGTGGGAAGGTAACAGCGTTCCGTGCGCCTTGGTATTTAGTCATGCCGGCCACATGACCACGGAAAGGTCTGCAGACAGCGCTGGCTCTTCGGCCTGGAAACGGAGATGAGCACCGCAACCCTAGAGTCGTTCTCAACTGGCTTTCGAGCAAGGGAAACCTTTACCTTACTATCTACTTATATCCCACTTTCCTGCTCAGTCAGGCTCAAAGCAGTTTAAAACATCATTCTGCTCTCCTCCACTTCATCCTCAAACAGCCCAGGTAGGCTAGGCTGAGAGTGCATGGTTGGCCCAAGGTCACTCAGCAAAACCAGACCCTGGTTCTCCCAGAATCCTAGACCGACTGGCGCTGGAGGACCACCTGCCCATGGCGAAGCGTCTCGGTGTTAAGGCTACAGTTGCCCACCAGCTCTGGGGTGTGAAATACCTGGAGACCAGTGTTCCCTCTAAGCTGAGTGATTGTGAGCTAGCTCACAGTTTTTTAGCCTCTAGTTCAGACATTTTTGCCTTAGCTCAGGGAGGAGGGCTCCAGAGCAAACTAATTTATGCAGAAGCCAAATCGCTTGCTCACAACTTTAATGCCAGGGGCTCACGAAGTAGAATTTTTGCTCACAAGACTCCACAGCTTAGAGGGAACATTGGATGAGACTGGGGAGGTGGAGCCTGGGCAGGGCGGGATTTGGGGAGAAGGCCACAGAGGCCAACCTCCAAAGCAGCCCTTTTCTCCAAGGCGACTGATCTCGTCAACTGTCACCGCAGGGTCTCCAGCTGCCACCTGGAGGTTGGCAACCCTGGTTGAGGACACAAAAATAAAGAATAGGAAGAGCCAGAATTTTCTGGCCCCCGTTGAGATCCCTTCTCCTCCCCTTTCACTCTCTTATCTCCCCCCCCCCATATCAATTTGCATCCACCTCAGCTTCACGTTCCCCTCTGACCCCTGGGGCCCCACTTCCGCCCCGTCACCTGACCTCTGGGGCCCCACTTCCGCCCCGTCACCTGACCTCTGGGGTCCCACTTCCGCCCCGTCACCTGACCTCTGGGGTCCCGCATCCGCCCCCCTCCCCCACCGAGGGACCCACCGGGCAGCCCGGAGCGCTCGGAGGGTCTCGGCCGCGAAGCTGTCGGTGCCGAAGAACAGGACCCTCCAGGGGGGCTTCTCCCGCCTCCTCTGGGCCTCGCCGGCGGCTACCGTCCCCCGGCCCCGCCCGCGGCTCCACCCTCCCCGCCAGACCCGCAAGATGCGGCCCCTCATCGGCCCCTCCGACCCCGGCCACCCGCCGCTTCCGGGGACCCGAGAACGCCGTCGTCGTCGCCGCCGTGACGCAAACGCCGCGCGACGCCCCCGCTCTCCGCGCCGCTTGGGCGTGGAGGCGGCGCCTGACGGAAGGTCGGGCTCGCCGCGCGGGCTTCTGGGATGGCTGCGAGGCGGTTGCCAGGGGGGCGTGGCCACAGAAGGGCGGCTGTATCCATGGCAACCGTCCTTGGCGTCCCCTGTTGGAGCGCGGCCTGCCGGGCTCCTGCTGGTCGGCTGCAGGCTCGGGACGGGAGCCCCTCTGAGGGGAAGGAGAAGCTTCCTTTTTCTGATCGGTGTTTTAAACACCGCCTGTGGTCCCGCGGTTGCTGAGAATGGCTTCCAAAGAGGGTTGCCAACCTCCAGGTAGCCCAAACAGCAGAGAAGCACCGACAGGGCCGGTCCACCCACTAGGGGAACTAGACCTTTGCCTAGGGCTGGCCGATCATGAGGGCACCGAACTGAGCCGCCCCCCCAAACCCTGCATCGCACTCTGCCGGTGGTGCTGGAGGCTTGACGGGGAGCTTGCGGCGGTGGAGGCTCGTGAGACTCACCGAGAGGGGCTGGGGGGGCGGAGGCAAGAGGCGGGGGGGGTGGTGAGCGATGGATGGCCTGCAGCCGCTGCGGGGAGGGGAAGGGAGCCAGAAGGGTGACGTGGGAACCCTGCAGAGACGCTGCACGGAAGGGAGTAAATTAAATGAAAAAGAAACCTGTGCAAAAATAACTAAAAACATTCAACAGGCAATATAATGATATAAACTTTCTCTCCCCCCCCCAGCAGTATGTAGAAGACGGTGAAAGGAAGCCACCAGCAATGGCCAAGAAAACGCGGGGCGAAAAGCTGAAACTCTTCCTGTGGAATCCAGAGACAAGGAAATGCATGGGCAGGACAGCTCAAAGCTGGGGCCAAATATTTCTCTTCTATCTAGTTTTTTACCTTTTCTTGGCCGGAATGTTTGCATGCTGTATGTATGTCTTGCTGCTGACTCTGAGCCCATACACACCTCGGTACAGGGACACAGTTTCTCCACCCGGAGTTATGATTAGACCGCACGTCGATCATCCATTTGCACACCTGGCGACTATTTCATTCAAGACACTGGAGAAAGCACCATGAAACGGGCTTGCCAGTTCAAGCGATCCATATTAAGGAATTGCTCGGGGCTGGAAGATAAGACTTTTGGCTACTCCGGGGGACGGCCGTGCATCTTGCTAAAGATGAACCGAATTATTGGCTACCGGCCTGGTTATGGGACTCCCGTGACAGTAGAGTGCAAAGTGCTGAAAGGTAGTGAGAGTGATATCCAAGCAACGGATTTCTATCCGAGCACCACATTTGATCCCATGTACTTTCCTTACTATGGCAAACTAACACACGAGAACTACACGTCCCCGCTGGTGGCCATTCAGTTTACTCTTAGAAAGAACCACTCCATCCCCATAGAATGTCGCCTGAATGGAGTAGGCATCATCAATAATGCGCATAGGGACCGGTTTTTGGGGAGAATTCAGTTCATCCTGACTGTCAATGAATAGACCAGAGAAGCACCTGCTACTGGGCATTTATTTCCCTTCTTTTTATGGCAATCAGATCCTCTCTCTTAATGGAAAATGACCATAAACAAATGACTGGAAAGTTCGGGCTTTGTTTTAGGGTACTATTTACATTTTCTTTTAAAAAGGAAAGCCCCAAAATAATATTTCATGAATTATATACTGTAGTACTAAACAAGTCATTCATCCTGCAAACAGACACACAAGTTAGGAGAGGGTGTTCTTTGTTTTTTAAAAACACGCAAGGTAGTTCAAGTAGATTTCCGTGGTTGCATAAAAATGGCATTCAATATTAAAGTCATTTTTTAAAAAACACTACATCAAAGTTCTATGGAGCCATATGTATTAATTCACCTTATTTATTTTTTTACTTAAGAGTGCTGAATTTGTTTCCCTAACGGAGGTGAACCAGCTGATCACCCATTCTCCATCCAACATAGTGTGCTTTATTGGAGATGTAAAATTTCCAGACATTTTGCTGCTCGGGGGGAAAAACCCGTTTTTTCTGGGGGGGAAACGGAAATGTTCTGAAAAATTGAAAAAATTGCTACATTAGTACTTCTTTTTTCTTTTCCAGATTGAAAGTCAGTCTGTTACTTTAGGAACGTAACATATGACTATGGACATTTTTTCTTGGCATGAAATTATCACAACTAGCCTATTAAAAATATAGTGTATCCAAACAATTATTACAAACAGAATACCCACCCACATGCAAAAACAAAACTGAAACTTTTTTATTTTCTTCTGACAATCGCACCTCCTAAAGGAAGAAATGCATCTTGTTCTTGCATTGGAGAGTTCAGTTTGTAACCTAGGACTTGCTTGTCCTCAGTGCACAGAAATTACATCAATCTGATACCATATATATATATATCTTAGAAATGATTTGGAAAATATTTGAACACCTGGTCTTAAAATATTTTATTCATCATGTTAAAATAGAACATTCCATAATCAATTTTTTGGAAAATAACAAAAAGGCTTCAGGAAAAAAAAGGGGGAAAAACTGTTTTTTTCCTAATTTTTCCGGGCCTTCACATCTCTACTCTGGGCTTTGGCATCTCTCTTGGCCCTCGATCCTTTGCCTCGGAAGTCAGAGCAGAAAACCAGCTGAATTTTAGACCTGAAGTGTCGATAAGGAGTGCACTGGGACTGTCTTTCCTTGGGCAATACCTCATACTGGCTCTGGGTTATTGTATGTAAACTATCAAGTCTAACAAAGATCTGCTGCAGGTACCAAAGCCTTGCACACCTTTACTGATAGAATTGGGCTTCCCACCCCAACAACTTCAGAGGAACACAATGCTGTATATCCCCCCCCTCAGTTTAGTAAGCTAGTGCAGATATTAGCGGTTCTCAGAGTCCCAGGCTTACTATGGGAATTTCAGGATGATGTCCTCGCTCAGCAGACACCCAAAGGATGCCACCACACCGACATCAAAGTGCTCACAAGGCCCGATATCTGGCCAGAGGTGGACGGGGAGCAGAAACTGATCCGCATAGTTCTTGACAGCATGGCCCTTTGGCAGCTGAGACGGTAAGGTCACCACCTCCAGGCGATCTACAAGTGGATCCGGTCCCGGCTCTCTGCAACAGGAGGAGATAAAAAGGATTCCTGAGGAAGGGCTTGAAGGCCCTTCCTAGTTACCATCACCCCAATACCCACACAACTGCCCGTGACTCTCCAATTTCTCCTCTGTATCTACAGAATGGACTCTCCCTTCCAGTTTGGTGTAGTGGTTAAGTGCGCAGACTCTAATCTGGGAGAACTGGGTTTGATTCCCCACTAATCCACTCGCACCTGCTGGATGACCTTGGGCAAGCCATAGTTCTGATAAGAGCTGTTCTTGAAAAAGAGCAGTTTCTGTCAACCCCGCCTACCTCACAGGGTGTCTGTTGTGGGGAGGGGGAGGAAAAAGAGACTGTAAGCTGCTCTGAGACTCCTTTGGGTAGTGAAGGGCAGGGTATAAATCCAATATGTTCTTCTGCTTGTTATCTGTCCGCCTTGTAGGACAGTGCCCTGTGTTTTCACAGGATTGTGATGTACTGGTCAGACTAGAACCTGGGAGGTGCACGTGCAAGCCCTCACTTGCCATGGAAGCTCACTAGGTAGCCTTAGGCCAGTCATTCTCTCTCTCAGCTTTAACCTGCCTCACAAGGTTGTTGTGAGAATTGGGGGCGGGAAGAATGACATGGTAAGGTGCTCTAGGTCCCCACTGGGAAGACGTGCAGCATATAAATATCCAAATAAGTACAGTTCATACATGTCCTCTGTCACATACCGTAGATTACATGACTGTTTTAAAGAATTGCCCAAATGTATAATGCCTTTCCACTAGGACCAACCTGTATCACAAAATAGCAAGGAAGTTTTTTTAGTTCCCCCAAACTGTTTGGAACCAAGAACAAAGGAAGGGCTGCATGGTGTATATGCAAGACAGATGTTTTAGGGCACAGTAGAAAAGCCGCTGGTGTGCCCTTTGTAGCTTTCAAATGGCACGCAGACAGGGAAAGCTACATTTGGTCTACTAAGGTCAGTGAGACATTCCCTTTTGCTTGCAAGTCAGGAATAGGGGTCCTGCTCATAGGTTCACACTGTGGAGATGGGTGTGTTCAAAACAACATTCATCTATTAGCGAGGAGATGCAGGGATGGGAGCCAGAGGCTTCAGGACAAGGGAGCTCATGAAGCCTACTGCAACGATTCCTTGTTTATATATGTCTGTGTGTTTTTTTAAAAGTTTGGTTTGCATGGCTGTGATGATAATCTAGAGTGCTGGACCCAGGCAAGTGATATGATTGGTGAGTGACAGAGAGGGGGAGGGGTTTTGGAATGTATGCTGTGTGGATGATTTGAAGGTCTATCAGGAGTGACTGTTGGACAGTAGAAAAAGTCAGTTGAAGGGCAGTTAAGCTATGTATGAGAGAGAAGGATAAGCTTCCCTGTGGGGTTGTTAAGTTCTGAAGTCTGTGAGAGAAGCCGTCTGTGTTGAAACAGTTATAAGCTGAAGTTGAATGTATAAGAAACAGTTAACGTATATGGCCTAAGGAAAATATTGTTACAAAGTGACATGCCCAGATCCCTGTCAGTAAGAGGGAAAAGTGTGTGATACACCAAGCATATGTTCAGTATTTAAGCCTTCCTGGTTAAAATGAGTTAATCTTTTATTGGTGAGTTACTTCAACAAATCCTCTTTTATTCAAATGTACCCACTCTGAAAGAAATACTTCCCAGGACCACATAGTACCTTGAATGCCTAAAACCCTCGACATACCTACCCAGAAATAGAGAAAGCGTAAAGGTTTGGAAATCCTTTTAAAATTTCCTGGTGGCAGCCGGATATATAGAGTAAAACAAAACAGAAAGAACATTTTAAAGTAAACCCAGACCTCCCCAGTTAAGGGGACTGATCTCGTCAACTGTAACCACAGGTTCTCCAGCTGCCACCTGGAGGTTGGCAACCCTGGTTGAGGACACAAATATAAATAATGGGAAGAGCCAGAATAATTCAGCCCCCTTGAGATCCCTTCTCCTCCCCTTTCACTCTCTTCTCTCCCCCCCCCCATATCAATTTGCATCCACCTCAGCTTCACGTTCCCCTCTGACCCCTGGGGCCCCACTTCCGCCCCGTCACCTGACCTCTGGGGCCCCACTTCCGCCCCGTCACCTGACCTCTGGGGCCCCACTTCCGCCCCGTCACCTGACCTCTGGGGTCCCACTTCCGCCCCGTCACCTGACCTCTGGGGTCCCGCATCCGCCCCCCTCCCCCACCGAGGGACCCACCGGGCAGCCCGGAGCGCTCGGAGGGTCTCGGCCGCGAAGCTGTCGGTGCCGAAGAACAGGACCCTCCAGGGGGGCTTCTCCCGCCTCCTCTGGGCCTCGCCGGCGGCTACCGTCCCCCGGCCCCGCCCGCGGCTCCCCCCTCCCCGCCAGACCCGCAAGATGCGGCCCCTCATCGGCCCCTCCGACCCCGGCCACCCGCCGCTTCCGGGAACCCGAGAACGCCGTCGTCGTCGCCGCCGTGACGCAAACGCCGCGCGACGCCCCCGCTCTCCGCGCCGCTTGGGCGTGGAGGCGGCGCCTGACGGAAGGTCGGGCTCGCCGCGCGGGCTTCTGGGATGGCTGCGAGGCGGTTGCCAGGGGGGCGTGGCCACAGAAGGGCGGCTGTATCCATGGCAACCGTCCTTGGCGTCCCCTGTTGGAGCGCGGCCTGCCGGGCTCCTGCTGGTCGGCTGCAGGCTCGGGACTGGAGCCCCTCTCGGAGAAGCTTCCTTTTTCTGATCGGTTTAAACACCGTCCGCGGTTGCTGAGAATGGCTTCCAAAGAGGGTTGCCAACCTCCAGGTAGCCCAAACAGCAGAGAAGCACCGACAGGGCCGGTCCACCCACTAGGGGAACTAGACCTTTGCCTAGGGCTGGCCGATCATGAGGGCACCGAACTGAGCCGCCCCCCCAAAAAACCCTGCATCGCACTCTGCCGGTGGTGCTGGAGGCTTGACGGGGAACTTGCGGCGGTGGAGGCTCTGAGACTCACTGAGAGGGGCTGGGGGGACGGAGGCAAAAGGCCGGGTGGGTGGGACACCACTGCCGCAGGGAGGGGAGGGGAAGGGAGCCAAAAGGGTGATGTGGGAACCCTGCAGAGACACTGCACAGAAGGGAGTAAATTAAATGAAAAAGAAACCTGTGCAAAAATAACTAAAAACATTCAACAGGCAATATAATGATATAAACTTCCCCCTCCCCCCCCAGCAGTATGTAGAAGACGGTGAAAGGAAGCCACCAGCAATGGCCAAGAAAACGCGGGGCGAAGCGCTGAAACTCTTCCTGTGGAATCCAGAGACAAGGAAATGCATGGGCAGGACAGCTCAAAGCTGGGGCCAAATATTTCTCTTCTATCTAGTTTTTTACCTTTTCTTGGCCGGAATGTTTGCATGCTGTATGTATGTCTTGCTGCTGACTCTGAGCCCATACACACCTCGGTACAGGGACACAGTTTCTCCACCCGGAGTTATGATTAGACCGCACGTCGATCATAAATTCCGCATTTCTTTCCAGATGTCGGATCCCCAATCGTGGCAACGTTATGTGAAAAACTTAGAGCAGTTCCTAGGAGCTTATAATAACAGCATTCAAGAAAGCAGAAATGCCATTTGCACACCTGGCGACTATTTCATTCAAGACACTGGAGAAAGCACCATGAAACGGGCTTGCCAGTTCAAGCGATCCATATTAAGGAATTGCTCGGGGCTGGAAGATAAGACTTTTGGCTACTCCGGGGGACGGCCGTGCATCTTGCTAAAGATGAACCGAATTATTGGCTACCGGCCTGGTTATGGGACTCCCGTGACAGTGGAGTGCAAAGTGCTGAAAGGTAGTGAGAGTGATATCCAAGCAACGGATTTCTATCCGAGCACCACATTTGATCCCATGTACTTTCCTTACTATGGCAAACTAACACACGAGAATTACACGTCCCCGCTGGTGGCCATTCAGTTTACTCTTAGAAAGAACCACTCCATCCCCATAGAATGTCGCCTGAATGGAGTAGGCATCATCAATAATGCGCATAGGGACCGGTTTTTGGGGAGAATTCAGTTCATCCTGACTGTCAATGAATAGACCAGAGAAGCACCTGCTACTGGGCATTTATTTCCCTTCTTTTTATGGCAATCAGATCCTCTCTCTTAATGGAAAATGACCATAAACAAATGACTGGAAAGTTCGGGCTTTGTTTTAGGGTACTATTTACATTTTCTTTTAAAAAGGAAAGCCCGTATTGGAGATGTAAAATTTCCAGAAATTTTGATGCTCGGGGGGAAAAACTCGTTTTTTCTGGGGGGGAAACGGAAATGTTCTGAAAAATTGAAAAAAATGCTACATTAGTACTTCTTTTTTCTTTTCCAGATTGAAAGTCAGTCTTTTAGGAACGTAACATATGACTATGGACATTTTTTCTTGGCATGAAATTATCACAACGAGCCTATTAAAAATATAGTGTATCCAAACAATGATTACAAACAGAATACCCACCCACATGCAAAAACAAAACTGAAACCTTTTTCTTTTCTTGTGACAATAGCACCTCCTAAAGGAAGAAATGCATCTTGTTCTTGCATGGGAGAGTTCAGTTTGTAACCTAGGACTTGCTTGTCCCCAGTGCACAGAAATTAGATCAATCTGATACTGTACATATTTTTTTAGAAATGATTTGGAAAATATTTGAACACCTTGTCTTAAAATATTTTATTCATCATATACACACATTCACGCCCACACACACACACGGCTCTTTAAGAAGAGGCCACTCTTCTTAGGCTCCATCCCCAAAATCTCCAGGTATATCCCAACCTGGAGCTGGCAGCCCTGCTTCCAAAGAAGCACAAACACAGTTCAGACAAACAAGCAGCAACAAAAAAAACAAACAACACCATCAGCTCTGGAACATGTTATTTAGTTATATTCAGGCTCATCATCTCAGAGGCCCAAATTAGCTTGCCGTGACATCAAATACAATTAAAGCGGGCAAAATCCAATAAAATGATGTCATTGTCTCCGATCTAAGGGGTGCTGCTGGGCAGCGAGTGTGGTTCTTGGTGTAGTGGTTTGGTGTAGTGGTTAAGTGCGCGGACTCTAATCTGGGAGAACCGGGCTTGCTTCCCCACTCCTCCACTTGCACCTGGCTGGATGACCTTGGGCAAGCCATAACTCTGGCACAGCTGTTCTTGAAAAAGAGCAGTTTCTGTCAAAAGTTCTCTCAGCACCACCCACCTCACAGGGTGTCTGTTGTGGGGAGGGGAAGGGAAAGGAGTTTGTAAGCCACTCTGAGACACCTTTGGGTAGTGAAGGGCGGGGTATAAATCCAATCTCCTTCTGCTTTAGCCTCACAAGAACCCTGTGAGGTAGGTTAAGCTGAGAGAGACCAGTTGGCCGAAATTCGCGCAGTGATCACTGTGACTGAGTGGCGAGTTGAAACAGGCCCTACTAGCTTTCACGTGCACTAAATAACGCACTTCCAATCCACTTCCAATGCACTAAATTGCAACTGGATTTTACGATGTGAGGTGGCAAAATCCACGTGCAAATGGTCGCCAAAGTGAATCGAAACGGCATTATTGAGGCCCTGACCTGGATAGCCCAGGCAAGCACAACCTCGTCAGATCTAGGAAGCTAAGCAGGGCCAACCATGGCAAGTAGGGATGGGAGACCTCCAAAGAATACCAGGGCTGGGATGCAGAGGCAGACAATAGTAACGCCACCTCTCTGAAATGTCCAAGCCCCACTAGGGGTTGCCAGAAGTCAACCATGACTTCCAGGCACACACAAAACACACACAGACACAGACAATACTCACCAAAAAAAAGAGATAAACAGCATTATTTAGCATGTGTAAAAGCGCCCTAAAACCACCACGCTGTCTGTTGTCATTGTGGCATTCAGCTCCTTGGAGGATGCACCAAATAGCCCCTTCTATTACCTATGAACATTGGATCCAGTTCCCTGCCCCAAAATGTCTGTCGTGAGGATAAGTGCTCCCCAATCTGCTGAGTCTGAGGCTTCCAATTCTCCACCAACACCGATTCTCCATTAAGATAGATTCAGGTGGGTAGCAGTGTTCCCTCTAAGCTGAGTCAGTGTGAGCCAGCTCACAGTTTTTTAGCCTCCAGCTCACACATTTTTGTCTTAGCCCAGGAAGGATGGCTCCAGAGCAAACTAATTTATGCAGCAGCCAAATCGCTCGCTCACAACTGTAATGCCAGGAGCTCACAAAGTAGAATTTTTGCTCACAAGATTCCACAGCTTGGAGGGAACATTGGTGGGTAGCTGTGTTGGCCTGGAGTAGCAGAACAAAGGCTGAGTCCAGTGGCACTTTTATGACCAACAAAGTTTTATTCATGAATAAAACTTTGTTAGTCTTAAAGGTGCCACTGGACAAACTTTGTTCTTCTCTCCATTGGCACACTCACGGTGCCCATGTTCCGGTACCCATTGTAAGGAACTGGTTCCAGGAGCAAAATCATCCTGGTTACTTAGAGACGAACAAACAAACGCCCCTGCGCGTGGCAACATTTCTAGCAGCTGTTGTCAAATCACATGACAACTTTTTCAGTAGCAACTTTTAAATCCTTCCCCGTTTTCCTGTGGAATGAGGTTTATTGTGGAATGAGGGTTTGCTGTTTATTATGACGCCAGTTGCGAAAACAGTAAAGACACAATAATAATAATAATAATAATAATAATAATAATAATAATAATAATAATAAAATGATGACCGACCACGAGTTAGTGTGAGCTAGCTCACAGTTTTTTTAGCCTCCGGCTCACATATTTTTGTCTTAGCTCAGGAAGGAGGGCAGTAGCCAAATCACCTGCTCACAACTTTAATGCCAGTAGCTCACAAAGTAGAATTTTCGCTCACAAGACTCCACAGCTTAGAGGGAACATTGGTTCAGACATAAAGCAAAACCATGGTTGGTTGGGACAATGGCTAAATTATGTCACTCGGATTTGCCTCACAGACCAGTATTCAAAGTAGGGATGCCAGCCTCCAGGAAGTGCCTAGAGATCTCCTGGTATGGCAGAAGTCAGTTCACCTAGAGAAAATGGCTGTTTTGAAGGATAGAATCGATGGCATTCTCCCCTTATGAGGTCTGCCCCCCCCCCCCAAGCCCGCCCCACCCGCCTGAATCCCCACCCCCAAATCTCCAGGAATCTCCCAACGCAGAGCTGACAACCTGAATTCAAATCTTGCTTGGTGACACCCAACCCCAGAGCTTTGGTGTCTTGTGGCAGAAAGTGCTGCCAAGTCACAGCTGGGTTATGGGTATCCCATAGGATTTCCAAGGCAAGAGATGAACGGAGTCGGTTTGCCATTGCCGACCCCGTGTCTCTGGTCTCCCAGCCAAGCACGAACCAGGGCTAGCCTTTTGTAGCTTCCAAGACCTGACAAGATCGGGCTCGCCCGGGCCATGCTGGTCCAGGCCCAGA